GGTCGTGAAGCTGAATTTTCTGCCGGTGCGGTTGACGTCGCTCCTGTCGTTGCTTTGTGCCTCTCTTTTTTTCCCGTAATTTTCTTTTTTTTTTTTCTGTGCGTTTCTACCATTTTGACTCCATTTGTGCCGCGCGTCAGAGTTGCGATCACGTTGAGGTGGTGTTTTTCATCTTGTCCTGCCCTTTTTTGATGAGATAGCACTTCGCAGCCTTTGCACGTTCACGCTCCTGCGGTACTGAAGAAAGATCCCCAAGGTTTTGGGCACCCTTGTCCTTTAAAAGAAACCAAAACCCCACAAAACACAGAAAAGCCACTGACACAAAGATGTGCAAAGCCCCAGAAAAAATTACCTGTGATCCAAGGTTTCCTGATTTCCTGATCCAAAGAATCCTGACTTCTCCAAGTCAGGCTGAGCTCGGAATTTTTGGCAGTCCCTTTCTCCTGTTCCCCAGTAGGGATCTGCTCGGTTTGGGGTTTTCTCTTGCTTTCCTGATGAGCAGCAGCTCGAGGAAAAGGGGGATGTGAGGACTAACAGGATGGGTCAAGCCACTTATCAGCCCCAGGTGACTCGGGAGACTCGGGAATAACTCCAAGCTCATCCCAGTGGGAAGCAGCGGCTGGCAAGGCTGGTGAGGGAGAGGACTCACCTACTGCCCCCAGCCCGCTGCCAGCAGAGTGAGGGTGACAAGAAAGGGAAAAAAACGCTCAAAAGTTGTTTCTGGAGAAAAGAAACTCGCAGGTTGCACAGTGCAGCTTCGAACATTAAGAGCCGCTTGCTCCCTGCTCCGCTCGTCCCCAAATGGGTAAGGGCTGTGACCGGGGGGACTCAAAAATCGCTGGTCCCGTCAGTGGGACCACACGCTGCCTCCCCACGGTGGGTTGGGAAGGGTTTCTCCCTTGAAGGGCTTTGCAAACCTGCAGTACTTCTGTCGCCCTCTGAAGAGGTCCCAAGTCATTTGTTTTCGTAGCAGTTACAAAAATATTCATCCCAATTTGGAATCTGTGCTGACCATTTTCTGTCGTGCAGCTCGTTTCTCGGTGCTGAACCATCCCTTCATACTCAACAGTTATTTGCCATTTTATCTTCTGGTAAAGGGCTATGAACAGATGTAGTTTGTTTGTTTTTATTTTGGTGGGTATTTTTTTCCAGTCCAAATAAACTCATTTGTTTCTCTGGCACACAGGGAACAGTAGCGTATTAAAAAGGTAAAGGTTTCCTTTACAGAAACGTTGATCTGTCATTACTGTTGCATTCATTAAAAGGTTTAACAGCATATTGTTTTAAAATCTTGAATTAAAGCGATTTGGTTGTAGTTTGTTTTTCTAATGTTAGTGATAAACTTAACCATATTTGAGATAGATCGTTCTTTAATATTGCTGATAGCGTTTGTTGCGTGGTTTTGGGTTTCTTTTCTAACATGTCTGGCTGTTTTTATGTGACACAGTTGGCTGGGGAAGCGATCAAGGGATTGGAGGATTTGGAGAGGAACCAGGAATTAAAGCACAGCTAACGAACCTTATTCGATCTGTACGAACCGTTATGAGAGGTAAGGTGACGATCTTTTGTTTGAACATTATTGTCCGTTTTGTCTCTGTGCTTCTGCTTTCTGTACTGAAGTAACATCAGTATTTTGACTCTTCTCTTTTACCAAACAGCTGCTATTTCTGCTCGTCATTTCCAATCTATCCTTTCTTCACGCGTGGACTCTGTATAGGAGGGCGCAGGTCCCAGCTAAGGTGCCCTAAGTTTGATAAAGTGAAACATTCCCTGACTCTGACTCTGGCTTGTGGTGCCGCTGCTGCGTCTTGTCTTTCCTCGGAGTTTGGGAGCTGGGGGGAAGCTTGGTCAATCAGATCAATCAGAGTGTGCAATTAGCTTCACCTTGGCTAAATTCCATTTTATGTGAAATACCTGGTGAGGGAAATGTAATTCCTGCGATTCTTTAAGGTAAGCCAGGCTTATGTGCCTCAAAGGATGGGGGAAAAAAACAGACTCTTAATTTGTAAGTTACTGATAGTTTTCCTCGCTATAAAGCACACCAAAAATTCTCTCTGTAGGTGATAGAATTAACAAATCTTACCTGTCTTGCTCACCACAGAGTAAAAAGTGATACATTTCTTCTAAATCACAGCAAAGCCAAGGATAGAAACTGACTTTGAGATGGTTTGGTTTCATTTGGAGAAAGGATTGTTTTGGTTAAAGTTAAAACATGATGGGCCATATAAAAATATTTATGCTGTTGCTTCCTACTTATTTTTAGTATCCTAGGCTGTGATCCTGGCTCCTTCCACTAACCCTGATTTTTGCGTAGGAAAATTCAGTGTGTTTTTTAACTTTTGATTGATTTTGCTCCTTAAAAGGTAGTCTCCCAAGGTAATACAAAGTTCTGTCACTTTGTGATGTGCAAAAGAAAATTTTCACAATTACTCTCCTCCTTTCTCTGCAGTGCCGTTAATAGCAGTGAACTCCGTTACAATCGTTCTCCTGTTGTTGTTTGGTTGAAGATACCTGGTGAAAATCTTTCGGACATCCAAAGAAGCACGTTGCTAACCATCACTGCTCTGAGTTTTCTGGGATCCAGCACGGTTTAGCTGTCAATTTGACATTCATCTTAAAATAATAAAGACACTATTTCTATTTATCCTATTTCCTAATGTTCACTTGCAGTTTCATTAAACAAGATAGTGGGATCAATGCAACAACGCTGCAAATACATTGGACTATGACAAGTTCTGTTGCCGCCTGCCTGTTAATAGCGTTGACTGTTAGAGTATGCGTCGTAACATATTGCAACGATTGTCGATAGGATGCGGTTTTTAAATGTCTCGTTACTCAGGGATGAATTTCCTTCAGTACGCTTCCCAATTTATATTTAAATTAAGAAAAACAGCAGTGTTTTTTTAGTTCAATTACTACCACAGTACGATTTAAGAGGATACAAATTAGGCTCTACAAACATGTTACAAATTATTGAAGTACAGTTGTGATATTGAGGGGGACAAAAACTAGCTGGGTAAAGGCCTGATTCAGTTCACATTGGAAGTCGGATGTTCCTGGTTTGATTGAGAACGGGATTTTTCTCTTGGTGTTTGGTCTTTTAAAATCAATAATGTTTTATGCTGCTGGTGAAGTGGAAAATAGGTGCAATTGCTATGCAAAATCTAAAAAAGCTGTACCTAAAGCTGGGGGACTGTGTTAATTTAGACTAGCGGGTGATGTTAGTGATTAGCATTTGTTACTGTTCTGTCAAGGATTATTATACTTTTTAAAATGTGTGTTAAACTTCTGCGTGGTGATTAGTGTGTTGGAAGTGGGGAACCGTTTGTATTCTGAGCTTCTTGGGACGTGTGGGAGGGGAATACTGTGCCCTTATCAAATGCAATTCTTTGTTAAAAACCAGCAGATTTGCAGCCTCTTTTATTACTGCTGCGTCTTCCCCCGCCTTCCATCTTGCTTTGTTAAATTAACAGCTTGCTGAAATTGAAACTATGAGTATGATCCGGCAGTTCTGTTGCAGAGAATGTCGCTAATGGCTTTGGTACAGATCTTGTCTCAAGGAAGACTGCTGGGTTAGGTCCAATGTTATATAGCAGGTCTGAATTGAAGAAGGCTGATTCTCATGTATCTTTTTAGAAAAGTTAGAAGTCTTGCGTCTGTTCCTCTGCTAAGGTGTTTTAGCTTATTTTTAAAGTGGGGGTGGCCAAAGGAAACCTGGCAGTTTCTTCATGTTAAAATAGCTTAGTTTATCATCTCTTCTTCCGACGTCGTGATGACTAAAGCATACGCTGTTGTATACGAAGATAAATCTGTAAAATGTGTAAATGAATTTAATGATCTTCAATTGCAGTGTTTTGCAGAGTAGAGTATATCCAGGAGGAGAGTTTTATGTTGTTTCCTTCTTTTAGTGAAAACTTGTAAATAAATTCTGAATTTCTAAGTTAAGCACTCTCTTTCATAACTCACTCTATATCTGTGTACAGTGGGAGTATCTCAAAACTCGGCTTCGTCCTTTCGGATACCAGAGTTACTGTTCTTACATGAAATACTTTTTTCTCATCCCTGTGGCACTTGCGACTATCATTTCTCTGCTGCGGAGCTGTATTTTGGTTTATGTAGCAAACCTAATGAGCTATGGTAACATTGGCCTGAGGCAGAAAAGGATCATGCTAGTCTTTAAATTCTAAAGTAGGTAGATCTATTATAAAGTATTCCTTATAATAAACTTTGTGTAATTCAGAGGTGATGAGGGTACAGTCTGGATCAGTTATTTTCATGGAAACCGGACAGTATGTATGTGGAACAGATAAAACATGGAAGGTATCCAGGCCTTTTTGGTTTTTTGTAAATTTTTTGTGAAAAAGCAGTGGTAGATGTTTCCATTGCTGATGCATTGGATTGGAGTACTGAACGATTTGAAGCACAGCTTAAGTGGCATTTCCTTTTCATATGCACTGACTGGTAAAACACTAGTTCTTACTAAAATAAAAGCCAGTACTAAAGATTACAAGCAGCAGCTTTAAAAATGGGTAAAAAGTGATTTCCCCCATCTTCCTGTGCTTTCAGAAAGGCTGAAGTTTCAATGCATGGCTTACAGCATGTGGGCAGATGATTTCAAAATCAATTAGGCACATGCAGTAAAAAGGAGTAGCGGTTCCATGAGGCAGGAATCCTGCATTTGAGGCAAAACTGGGACGTGTTTTGTCTGGCAGATGCAAAATAGTGATTCAAAGCGGGGCAGCAGCTGAAGATTACGTTTCCCAGGTTATCAGCAGGGACGAGGGCAAAAGGGTAGACAGCAAACAGGCAGAGAAGGAAGGAGCGTAGAGAGAAACAGCAAGGGAGTAACGACACTGCCGCCGTCTCCTCGTGTGGCTTTGAGCAGTTCTGAAACATGTCTGCTGTGACTAAGTTTAAACAAGGTGAAGCACCTCAAACCTTGAAGGGGCTCAGGTTCTTCATGCAAAAAAAGTTTCCACCTGGCAAAGAGCACCACATGCAAAGTAGCCTGCGATCCAGTAGTCACTTCATACCCTGAAGAGCATTGTCACTCATACCTGGCACAGAAATGACAGTAACCAAAACATTTTACAGATCAGGATGATGACTAAGACTTTTCAGTGTACTTGGCTCATTTCTAGGAAGGATTTGTAAACAGAAGGTGCTTTCACAGCAGTAGCTTGCAATGTGGTGGTACCAGTCGTGGCTGGCTGTGGTGTGAAAATGAAGCTTGTGGGATGCTTCGCAAAGTCTTTAGTGCAAATACAGACAGGAATAAGGGATCAATTCTGTATACCTGTACTGTTAAAGGTTTTGTTTTGGAGGGCATGGGGACAGGCGAAGGGAAAAGTAAGAAGGTAATGGGTTTGTACACAAGTAAAAGAATCTCAAACTCACTTTAATTGTCTTTGACATCTCACCTTAGGTTGCAATGTTACGAATTTAAAACTGTCTTACATTGGATTTTTTTGATGTAACATCACAATATAAAACTGTGAATGTATATCATACTTAATTCATTGATGTGCCCTCATTTCTTACGAAATCCTAACTGCAATAGCTTAAAACGCAATTGCATCTAACCATCTTCTCTGTATGTCGCCTCTCCTGCAGATGAGCATGGCAGGCTCCATCGCCATCACAGGTAGAGAGCGGTCTCCACAGACCTGGGGCTTGCTACTGCCGCAGGCGAAGCACAGTCCTTACAACTACATCTTTCCAACACCGCAGCTGTAGGAAGCTGATCTTCACAATGTCCACAGATACCTCGCTGGGCGGCTTCAGCCGGGAAGCGCACAGGGGCCGCACCCCCAAGAATACCGGCTGTTCCCCTTCCTTCACACCCC